CCCCTCACGAACCTGCCGATGTCACTCGTCATCACGTTCTTCCTCTCCGTACTCTGGTTCTTCGAGGTAAACGAACAACATGTTGACACTCCATAATTCTCATTGTCTCAATGAACGTTAGCCAGCATGAAACGATCGTAATCTTCATTAATTTCCGAACACGTCCGACACGATCTCATCGCAAACGTATGTTTGTCAGGGCGGCGTACCATATCATGTCCATAGATCGGATCATTTCAGAGCTGTACCGACGCTGTACAGTTTATATGTCGATTTATGATCGTCAGGTAATTGCGCAGGCTTTTAGCAGAACGCCTGTTCCGACGAACCCGATCGCCCTCGCGGAGGAAGCCTATTCTTGGCCTCAGCTGTTCCTTTACTCCAATAGCGACACTCTCATCCCAGCGTCAGTAAGTTTCCATTTTTTATGCTAATTCCAATAATTCCCATTACCCAATAAACACCAACAGTAACATATAATCAATGTTATAATTTTGCACTCGGCAGTGTAACTGTTATTCAGTAAAATATATTTGTTAACATTTTGTGTTGAATCTTTTAACATATTCGAGTGTTAATTTGACATAATGTGATTACGTTATTTAAATAGTTTTTGTTAAATTTATATTCAACATTTTTTACTGTCAAAATAGTATTATTTATGAGTAAATGATCAAGTAATATGAAAATAATATGTTTTAAAACGTATAGTCTAATTAAGATAAATGAAATATGTGTTAATTTAATATACCATAGATGTTAATTTTACTTTAAAAAATATGCTTCCATAGTTTGTTTACATACTAATGTTAGATTTTTGGAATAAAAGTTCTTAAAGGTTTAGTTTTTATTACCCAGACAGCCAAGCGTGATGTACAGCGTATTGTACAAACTAATGCATTGCATATGTTGTTATATATTTGCTGTACATTTGCTGACATCAAAATAGGACACATTATAAATACAACAACGTGACTGCTTATACATGTAATCAGTTGTCGAAATTTCTAGAGCAAACTGTGAGCAATGGTGGTACATTATGATGTCGGTAACATGTTAGCAACGAATAATTAATCGTTTCATCTTGAACTCATTGCTAACAAAATGCTGACAATATGACAACACTATTTGTTGTCGAGGATATTCATACTGACATATTGCCATCAATTTGCCATCGCAAGAATTTGAATTCCATTGAGTTCAACGCGACAGACATAATGCTGTCTCATCTTGTCCTGAGTTTGTCGAAATTGGTTGCTGCAACATGTCAGCAAATACACTGCATTTGGCTATCTGGGTATACATATATAAAAGTAATAATTAAATGTACATTATCATTATTACAATCCTAGATGTAATAAGAAGAATCTTGTTACAAGAGAGATTCTGTCTTTCATCAGGACGTTGAGAAGTTTGCCAGTCGACGGGCCGAGAGGGGTGTGCGGGTGCAGCTGGTCCTGTTCACCAATTCGCCGCACGTCAAGCACTACACGACCTACCGCGACGTCTACGTGAACACCGTGTGCAGCTTCATTCACGAATGCCTGATCTCGCCGAGCCCGTCAAGGAGCCTGCTGTCCCTGGACCGCGGCGACGAACGCGGCTCTCAGAGCTACGACGCGCCGCCGGATCTCACCAAGCGCGTCGTGTTGCCTCACGAGGCCGACAAACAGCAGAACTAGTAATCCGGAGAAGACGATAATAGATATAAAATAGTTGCCCGCTAGAGGATCGCGTTGGTGGCACACGCGCGACCTCGCGGGTGCAGGCGTAAAGGGAGAGAGGATCGATGATCAATTTATTACGTCTACACTTTATAGACTAAAAGGTCTACGAGGAAAGGAGTGAATTCGAAGGAAATGCCTGGAATCCATTTTGCGCAATTACGACCTCTCAATCTTCGTAATTGGAAATTGGTCTTCAAACTCTACTAAACAATTTTTCCTCCTATCGTTTCTTTGTATTTCCGTCTATTCATTGCGATTTCAAGATGGAAAAATCGTATAATTAGGACAATCAACTTTTTTGTTAAAATAATAAGCAAAGAAAAATGTTTGCGATGATAAAACCAAGAAAGAATCCAAAAATTTTGTGGAACAGTTCCTGATTTTAAGAGATTGGGAGATTGAAATTTCGCAGAACAGATTTCTCACGATTCTTTCAATTCACTCGTTTCATAAAGCAAAGAGGCGACGTCCGAGATGCTGGAAACGGTGCTATGTTCGTTTGTACAGAGCTGTTTTATATAAAGTTAATTATTATTTTTGAGTGAAAGTTATTTAAATGTGGATTTTTTATGAATCGAACGAGAGACTAGATACGCGGTGGCGTAAGAGCTTTCAAATATATATTAAATGTACTTTGATGTATTTCGATGACTATTCGTATAAGCCTAAAAACATGAAGACTTTTATTAAAGCTTATGTCAATTTTACTTCAGTTTTTTTTTATTTCTATATGCAACTCAAATGTCACAAACATACATACTTACACACAGAAAAATACATACTGTATGCAAGTAATAATTATTTGTTTTGAATATTTCGAAGTTCATATATCCACAAATCTATCATAAGTTCATCACACGCATTTATAAAATTTATTCAAAATATATTCTGAATCCTAGTAAGTTTAATATTTCTATCAAGATTATTTTAATTTATGTGAAGTCGTTTCTTCAATTAATTTTATAATATTCTTCAAAATAAAATAAATTCTTGTCTTGAGTACATAATAACGAGTTTTTCTAAAATTTGTAATAAGTACATTTTAAGACTATTATCAAGAAAATATTCTTCGTTAAAAATAACTGTTACTTAAAAGAAAGAAAGTAAATATGAGTAATCACTTTTCTTAGCAATAAAATGATATTTTTTTGTGTGTATTCGCGCATTATTTATTTTCTACAATCTGAAAATTTTTTAAGACTTCTCGCGATATTGTTGCAACTAATGCAATTTTTAGTGGGTCAGAATCGAGATTCCTGGTCGAGTTATGTGCACTGTTTGCGGCATCATGAGCCTTGTCAAAATTTCCTGATTTTCGCCGAAACAGCGAAGGAATCGATAGTATCCACATCCTCTCTCTCTTTCTTTCTCTCTTTCTCTCTCTCTCCTTTGTCTTAATCCTTTATGTTTTCCCGTGTCAGCTTGATTCTTCCTTCGTACTTTTTTGTTACTCCTTTCGCCACCGCGTATCCGAATGACCGCCGTTTTAGAAGCTCGCAAGCTCGTAGACTCGAATGCATCCGTATATAGTCTCTGTACAATAATCTGGATGAGTGAATTTCTCGCTTGTTGGATAATTGTGCGCGTTCTCTTTCGTGGAGGTATCGAGGGCTAATTGCAAGAGAGATTTCTAGGAGATGGATACATTTGATAGAAAATCGTATGCAATATCGCGCAATGTGTTTACCGCTTACGCTCGCGCTCTTTCCTACGCAGCGGAATAAAGAAGCCGCACAAAAGAATCAAGCTGGACTTGATTTAGCTTTTACGCAATCCACGATTCGAAAATGCATGGCATTTAATATCGATTCGATAAAAAGAAAACGCAGGATTTTTTCCTTGTGTCTCGAATTATATCAGTGATAAACTTTTGAGAACGCTCGAGACGCTCGAGCATATAGCTCTGTATCGTTAACATCTCTTTACATATATATATATTAAAAAATAACATAAATATATTTTGATCTGTCGATTTAGTTATACGAATAAAGACTGATAAATAAAAAGCTACAAAGCCTTTTGTTTTTTTTTCTATTAAACGAATGAATGTATATCCGAATTCGCTCCATTGATGATATTTCAATGTTTTTTTAAATGAAATCGGATATCGATTTTGATATTTTTTATGATCAAACATGAATGAAGTTGGAAAGGTTACGTCAATATAACACGTAGTACGCGGTTTTCTCATTTTCATCCAAGCGTTGCTTGGTTTTTAATAGATTTGCTAAAAATATACATATAAAAATAATATACATTTTTTTTTGTTTATTTGAAAATCGGATTATATAGTTTCGCGAAAGACGATTTGAGAAAGAAAAGACACACCAATTTCTAAATCAACGAGAATCAAAACTGTTTTTTTAATCGTTTCGTATTTTTATTATATCTTATTTCCTTTCGCCGTGAATCTAAATACTGTCCGTATCAAGACACAAAATTGTGAGGAGTATAATAGAATTAACGCCCTGTCTGTTTTCGTGGAAAAAGCAGAACGAGAAAAACAGGAAAAGGCATCGCTAGAGCACGCGGATGTACCAAAAGGCAAATTAGCTTCTTTCTCCGGAACGAAGTAAGAAAAAGAGATCACATACGCGTTTAAACATACACATAATTATATGACACGAATTAATTTTCAGTATCTTCAAAAAATCGCGTCAACATAATCAAAAGAAGACCAAAAGAACGGCTGATTGTAACAGTGTGGACAAGGATGGAAATAAGCTGTGTTCAAAGGAACACATTTGCATGGATACTTATGCAAAGTAAAATCTTTATCTTCTTGTAAACGATAATATACGTTGACTTTTATATATCTAAAATTTTTAAATCCTTATAGAACGCGTCTTGCTAAAGTTTATGGCGAGAAATTTCGGGAATTTCCACGGGATCTGAAGGCGCATGGCGATCAAAATAAGAATAATCCTCATTATAATAAATTGGATGGCAATCAAAAATTACAAGCCGATGCTGTTTCGAATAAAACTGAAGCAAAACTTTTTAATAAGGATATCCCGGGAGCTAAAATAAAACGCGACATTGTACGTTTTTCTATATTATTTACAAATTCATTTAGATCCATAATTGAGATTCATAATTATATAATTCATAAATATATCGTAACCAAAAGATACATATAATTTATATCTCAAGTAGCAGAGATAATAGGCCTGTTCTTTTTAGTAGAACTTCATCTTTACCATCTTTACTTTTTTTCTTTTCACATTAGAGAGAAAAAGAGAAAAGATAAGCTATGCAAAAAAAAGTTCGGCTAAAAATAACAAACTTATTAAAAGATGACATAGTGATGTCTATGATAGATCAAAATAAGCTCTTTTAATGTCATTCTGTGTTACTTGGAATTATTATACAACAGTCTTTTTTAATTTATTTCAAGAATGTTAGTTAGAAATTTAATGTTAATGCTAATTAAATAAGGATATTTTCCGAGACAGATAGCGGAAAATATAACAAAGCAAGGAAAAAGATTACCTGTATGTTCCATAAAAAGAATTCCGGCGACAAACAATTTCGTCTACGAATTTAATCCGTTTGTCAATATCGAACAGTCACGTCCATTAACGTCACAGACTAATTTGTGCCGTAAAAATCACTCTGCGCAAACGTTGCCTCATTCTAAAACAAGTATGAAACTAATTAAATTAAACATTGTCTCTTTGTTCACTCGAATTTTTAAATTATTACACGTTTTAAGATTTGCGTAATCGGTAAAAATACAGGCTCCAAAATTTACTGCCAGTACTGAAAATTTATAGTTTACGTCACTATTATAGATTTCCAGTATTGTAAATTTTGGAACACAGCCACAGATAGAAATATTTGGATACTCACAGATAAAAAAATATTTAATTCCAAAATATTCTGCATTTTTCATCAGTGTATAACATTTATTATAGACTTTGTGAAACGGAGGTCATCCGCTGTCTTACCGGAATTGAAGTCACATATCGATTTTGTGACAAATGATCCAGATTCGAATGTAACGAATTCTTCCCCGATGAAAAATACTTGCCTTCCGATACTTGGTAGAGAGAATTCGACGAGGATACTAAACAAACAAGTTGACAAAGAATGTAAATTTCTATGCTTTTATCGAATAACTTCGTTTGCTCTTCAAATTTTGTTTTTAATACCTTTTATGTTATTTAAATTATAATTTAAAATTACATTTCAATCGTTCATAATTCAGTCGAGCAAGACGATATAGATCGCGAAGTGGAGAAAGTAAAGTCTGCGTGGCAAGAATTACGAGGAGAAAAAGACTGGACGAAGGGTAAGGATCGCATTGACAATGTCCGAACGAAAAAACTGTACGAGATATTAGAGAAGATGACGTGCGAAATAGACAGAGTTCAAAAAAATTACATGGATCCCAAGGCGAATCGTTACTTGCACAAAAGCGCGAACAATGTTTTCAAAACGAGCAAGCCAAGTTTACAGGAAGAAGCTGAAATTATGAGAAGCTTAATCTTTCCCGACAGAAAAGCGAGAACCAAATCAGCAGTTTCTCATCTGAGAAACGTCGATAGCGAAATAATTGGTAAAGATATGGCAAGGATACGATTCGACGAAGGTATGGAAAATATTTTAACGGATAAACAACCAAATAAGAATTTCCTTTCATCGAAATACACTGCGAAAAAGCGGTCTATACATACTGAAGCGCACGAGTACGACATTCCCGATGATATTGGATCAGTTCATACAATTGCATTAAATAAGAAACAAGATACAGCTGTTACAGATATTGTGAAGCCAAAGTTTACAGATGAAAACTGGATAAGGGCGAAGACAAGATCTTCCATCGAGGAGTATCTGCAGCATCACACTGATAATATTCATAAATCATACGGCATCGAAGAGAAAAAGGAAGAGTATTCTCGAAGTGTGAAACCATCTGTAAGCGATATTGAAAATATTCTAACAAGTCATAATATTGGACCGCACATGTTGTATGAAAATTTCGAAAGACACAGCAACGGCTACGATTCGGAAAATTACGCAAGTGAGGACGATGCATATCACTCTTACTCGAATAGTGCAACTAATGCTACACAAACGACATCCGTTGATACTATCCAAGAGAATAAAAAAATTCATGATATGTCCCTCGAGAATACGGGATTATATAACGATACACGACCGACGAAAGCGGTCGATGCGAAATCTTTCAATATTCGGAGACAGTTGAGCGCAACAAATTTCCAAGATAACGCTTTCATTAAAATGGGATTAAACGAAAATTTATCGAGAGACACGCTGTCGCAAATAATGCAGTCGGAATACTTGAGAAAGGACTTATCTTTATAATATCTGCTATATATGTGGCAGAAATATCATTAATATATATTTATTCTTATATATAAACATTACTAAATTATATTTTAAATTGTTTGAAATTTTATCATTTTGTAAGTCTTGTTCTCATTTTCCAGTTCTTACAACACGTAAGTGAACAGATCATCTCTCCCATGTGCTAAAATATTTTTAAAAATATATAAATGTGAAAGTTAAAATTTCTCCTATGTACAGTCTTACGTTTTATAGAATATACATTTTATATCCTAACCATATAACTAAAAATTTTAATTTTTATTATAACATCACAAAATGTTTTCCGCTAATTCTTGCGTGATACAATACATATATTAATTAAGGTGTATGATGAGTTTCATAAATGTGTCTTGCATTTCTCAATTAGTTTCGTCAACTAATTCTATTCTTTCCATCAAATTATGGCACTGTCTGTCAAAATCACACTTTGTTGCCTCAAAAAAGATAATAAAAATTTATTTAAGATATAAATAAAGCATCATGATATGTCTTCGACTGGCCGATACGCGATGACCAAACGCATCACACCAACATTCTTGTAAACGTTCGTAGCTACCTCATTGGGAACCATTCAAAATGATCTAAAAGCAAACAGGCATCTCAGTGTTCTTAACAAACACTTTGCAACCTCTTCTTTCTTTTCAATAACAAATAATCGCTGTATGAGAGATAGAGCATATCACAACACTGGAAGCGCCGAACTGTGGCTTTGGTATATTATAGCCCCGGTGAAATTAATCGCTGCCGCCAACACGAAAACCGGCATCCACCAACCGTGCGAGGCAGTTACTAATTCAGCTGTCAATGGTCCACAAAGAATTCCAGGTACTGTTGCCTGAAAATCAAGATATACGACACAGATAATGTAGTCAACTTTGCGACGTATCGATATTGATTTATTATTAGATAAAAAAATGCGTACAATTGTATTTGAAACTGCAAACGTAATTCCCGCATGATTCGGAGCTATATCCGCGTGATTACTTAGGTGTCCGGCTGAATTGCACGCACAGAGGCCCATTGATATTGAAACAAAGCTGTAAGATAATAATTTCATAAAGAAAAAATCAAACAATAGAAAACATAAGACTAATTTGTTATACATACATGACTGCAGCAAGCAGATTATCTACAGCACAGAAAGCTAATAGAAAAGCACCTGGTCCTATTAGGCCTATGTTTGTCATTAATCTTCTAACAGACAAAACAGACCATCTTTTTTGTATCAAAGTATCAGCACTGTGACCAGCAACTGAAAAAAAGAAGATAGTTAAAAAAAATATTTAAAACAAAGTTGAAATATATAGAATTATATACTTACCAATACCAATGAGAGAATTAACGATATAAGGGAGAGCTGTCAAACTAATACTCTCTGTATTCGCAGACAAGTTTCTTGCCAAATAAGTTGGCAACCACTGCATTATTATATAATTACTCCAATTCATTGCAAAGTGTGCTATGTACAAAGCCCACAGGGGCCAGTGAGCAATAAACTCAGTCCAACGTAAGCTTCTATTCTGAGCTACCTATCAATCAATTATAAAACGTCAGTACCAAAAATATAATGGAAAATAAATTAAATGTCAGACAGAAGTTTACTTTAGGAACAAATAATGGAATCTCATCTTGAGAGTTAGTTTCCTGATACAACATCAGCCACAACACTGTCCATATGATACCTATTGTCCCAAATAAATAAAATCCAGTTTGCCACGCCAAGTGCGAACATATCTAACGAATAGAAAGAGATTTGTAAAACATAATTTTTTAAATAATTTAACACACATTTTGAAAGTAAGATTAGACTTACAACAGATGCAACCACTTGGCCAACAGAACCAGCAGCTACTAGATAGCCAAAAGCGCGTGATCTTTCTTCTACAGGAACATTATGTGCGAATAAATGAAATATCACTGGTAGGCCTACGAACAATCTCAAGTTAATTCCTAATCTCAGAATGCATTAGGCCTATTCTTTTTAGCTGAACTTCTAGCATCATTTATTTTTTATCTTAATATTTTTCTTTATACAAAAAAAGTGGAAAGATGAAGAAGTTTAGGTAAAAAGAATAGGCTTCTACTTTTTTTTAGCTTAACTTGCATTGTTTATTATCTTCTAATGTAGAGAGATAAAGAGGAAAAATAAATCTTACAAGAACTAAAAAGAATAGATCTCAACTCTGTTCTTTTTCAAACAATATTCTGAACTGCAGGTGTACAAAATAAGTTGGAGTGAAATAAATATAGTAATGTTTTGAATTGGTATATACTGCAATGGTTGCAATAAGTTGGAGCGAAATAACTATATTTATTTCACTCCACCTTATTGCACCAGTGTATACCAATTCAAAAGAAGAACAGACCTCTCTTGTCACATCTGCTTCGAACGTTCCATTCCTTCTTTATTCTTACCTAATCCTTCTCCTAGTCCTAGAATCACCCTACAAAGTATGAGTAATGGTACCGACTGTGCTAGCAACGGTGTGATGACCGTACTAATGGACCATAGCAAAACCGCTAGCATGAGTACCGTTTTGCAGCCAAAACGACTTGCTGTGCTCGCGCCGATGATCTTGAAGGAGAGAATGACGTATTATAGGCGCTGCGTTTTCATTAACGGTGACACAAAGCGTACGAATCGTCTACCTGACTAGTGAAATATCCGAAAGCAAACGCAGACAGGATCCATCCCTGCCAGTACAGGTTCCACTTAAACTCGTCGGTCATCAGCACGATGGCGATGGGCATGATGACCCTGTCCGCGGCGTTTATGAAATTCGCAGCCGAGCAGAGGGCCACGATGCGCGACGTGCGCGGTAACATCCTGAATTTTGCCATTGCCGATCTCCAGGCTGCTCCAGGCACCGTCAAATCGACCAGGTTTAACGACCGCCAATGATCATCGCATCGCCCAGGCTCGGTACGTTCCTGATCAGCTGATCCTTCCTCGCTTATGACAAGCTGAACGCGTGCCCGCGGAAAAATGAGAAAAAGAAAACTTCGACAAACACGTGCGAACGTGCCGTATGTGGAGCAAACAGATTTCTAACCTCCACACTGTCGTAGAATGACGAATGTTCTAAGACGATGTACCGTTTGTACGTAACGGTAAAACGATCGGGATCATCGGGATTGTACTTATGCGTCCGTCCCGCACAGATAAACACTTTGCGCCAATATTAGAAATCGAAATTAAACGTCATTACTAACGACAAGGACGCGGCAAGACATCAGCACCACGAAGACACAATTTGACGTGTCAAATCAACACGTTTGCAGCACGATCGATCCCGATATTCCCGACAGAGGGAAGCCTAAGTCCTGAGTAATGGTCACGTCTACATTTTAGGTAGTCTCCGTTCATAATTCATTAATTAATAGATTCAACTCAAGTAAACCCAATGTTGACCCAATATATATTCCTAACATTTAATTAATATATATATTTTTTGCTAATAAATTTATTTTTGTTAATAGGAATTATATATAATTCAATCGACAAATCACTTTCAATAAAAATAAGCTAAAGATAGAAAATAGAATTAAAGGACTAAAGATGATAGAAAATAAATAAATTTAACTAATATATATATATATATTTTTGTCAATAAATTGCTAATAAGTATTATATAATTCAATCGACAACTCACTTTCAATAACAATTACAAGCTAAAGATAGAAAATAGAACTAAAGGACTAATAAAAAATTATAGAAAATTAATAAATAAATGAATTCAAGTTAATGATGATTTACCATTAAAAATGTTGGTTTTAATTAAGTTGAATAACATATAAATAATAGGTCTGTTCGCGTTGCTTACATTTTTTGCACTCAGCATCTTCGCTTTCTCTCTTTTCAACGCCCGAATATATTTACGCTATATATAATATATTTATCTCATTTCACACAAGTGCAAATATTTTTGGGGATTTCGAATAACGTGAACAGATCTACTTTAATTAACAGTGTCAAGTATAAAAATAAATGTGCAGAAATATAAATATAACTAGATATAAATAATTAATCATTTATAACAATTAAATATTGATTATAATTAAGTATGTATAATAAATATATACAAATGTCTTTTTTAACTAACAAATATATTGATTAATATTCTACTTTTTATTGGTATATGTACATTACATGTACATTACATGTTCAAAAAGTTTATGAATTATTCAGACATTTTTAGCAAAATTTGATTATTAATGTAACATACATAAATTCAAGAATTTCAAATTTTAAATATTTTTTACAGTATTTCTATAAAGATAGAATACTAAGGTTGTATAGTAATCCCTTAACTATTCAAATAATTTAGTGAGAGAGAGAGAGAGAGAGAGAGAGAGAGAGAGACTATATACTAACTCATTTCGTACTCTTTAACTTTTTAAAATAAAATACAAATATATGTACATATACTATACAAACGAGAAAGAGAAAAAGGGAAAAATCAAACACAAAAGCTGCAACAGAGACATTTCCCGATTGAGTTTCTCAGGTCGATCGTAATTATCTGGGAAGGAAATAATATTTATGCGTATCTTTAATAAAATTCTTATTAATTTGAGATCGACAAAGTTACTGTAATACAAAGGTAAAATTACGCGCATCGCTGTGACGAAATCGTAGAGATCGCAATGTCGCTGGAATTTTTCCAAATATAGCTGTGCAGTCCAAATATGACCAACCGATCCATGTTGTGTGGTGCTATTTATAATCGATTTTCAATAAGGTACTATTAAAGACCAATTAAGAATTTCAACTGTTAACTCATAATACAATATATTAATTTTACGATTTATTATCACGTAGATATATACATTATACATCCGCGACGTGAAAACATAACATTTAATTTTTATTTAAAACAATATCATTCGTATTCGATCATCCATCATACAAATGACTATTGGAAATGGTACAGCTTCGCAGTTATACATTCGATATCATTACGCAAATCAGTATATTTATCCACGAAGCATCTGTATACTAATAAATCGTGAATTTAATATCTACTGCATTATAAGCCAATTATGCAGATATCTATATCGAATGATTAAAACGATCGAGAATGTCTGTACTCTTCAATTCTTCTTCGGGCTCACCAGGCCCATTTGATGATCATCAGGCAAATTTATCCAGAGCTAGCTGTTTTTCATATCGACTTTTAGTATCTTGCTGGTAATTAATACATTTAGATGGACGGTAGATGCGCTCCCTCGGGGTGGAATCCGTTCTCATCGGCGACGTAGTTGACGGTGTACCTGACGTTGGTCTCCGGGTCGACGTAGGTGAAGCTACCGCGGACAACGAGAGCCTCGTTCTCATGACCGGCGTTCACTAACTGGGCAGACTCTTGATGGGCCTGACCGTTGGAGAGCTCGTAACCATACTGGTATCCATCAACACCGATGTTGTCCAGTGGTGTCTCTTTCACGATGACCGCTTGATCGTGAGGGGGTGCTGCGATGGCGACGGCCACGAGGGCGCAGAGGGCAATGATCTGCAGGAAGAGAATGTCAATTAATCGACTTGTCACTTGGTTTAGTTTTCGTTATTCACAATTGTTGATGAAAACGATCGAATATTAATAATTGGTGGTGCGAGTGATGTAATAGCGTTCCGATGTATCCATTTCGATGCTATGACTCACAATCTTCGAATTAATTAGCGATAAATTTTATGCGCTCGTCCAAAAAGCAAGAGTTGATTGTAAATTATAATTCAGGAGAATCTTTGTATACCCACTGTTTTCATGTTGAATATGGAGGCGGTGTACAGCTACTCTCGTTCGAAGAAGAAGACTGATGTAGATTGTCGAAATCAGCAGAGATTTTATAGTGCTCCTCCTACTGCTAAAATTTGACTGGGCCTACACCAATTCACCTCTCACCTTTCTTTTACGTATTTTGCTAGTGAACACATCTGCCAATCGTCCAGATTTCGACCTTCGTAAGAATTTTTCACGAACGACACTCAACGATCTGGAACTTCATTAATTTAAAAATAATCGCACACAAAGAGCTCCTATAGGTGACACTATTAGACTAACACAGAGATTTTGCAAATTTTATCACACATATTTTATTTTATTGAAATAATTTTTTATTATTAATAATAGAATTTAATTATTATTCATCCAAAACCTAAATGTTGACAAATTTAACTACACAATTAATAAGTGCATTTTGGATCAAATAGATCTTATTTCAGATTTGTATAAAATTATGTAATATTAACATAAAATGTAATTTAATATCGAGTAAATATCATACAAATTTATTTAAATATATAAAATATAATAAAATAATACAAATTAAATTTCATTTAATAAAAAAGTGTCTAGGCGGAAGTATCTGCCAAGTTTGTTAAAAAATTCTCTTGCAATTCTCAAGGGCATGCAAGATGGAATTCCACTTTTCTTCAAGAATTTATTTGAGGAATTTCCAATCATTAATTATTAATGTAACCTTTATGGAGACTTAGACTTATGATAACTTTGCAAATTCTCAGTCTTATAAATTAAGATGACCCTGGTTCGTAAAGTAGCGACAATCGGCATTCATCTTTTTAAGATGCATGCGGTAGTGTGTCCGATGAATACAAAAATTTGTAATTGAGTAATTCCAAATTGTATTTATTCAGAATTTTCACATTAAAAAAAACGTAATCATATATTCATTCAAAATTTTGGGTTTTCAAAAAATATGTATTCACAAAAAAACTATGAATATTTAACGAGTATTCATATTCATTCAAACAAAATGTAAACTGATAAAGAAAGCTCCAATAAGCAATCGTTACCCCTTAACTATAACCGTTTGATAACTTTAAGTAAAAAAATGAATTTTATTTATTTTTGTCATTGTAATATTGAGATTTTGTGAAGGAAACTTAGAAATTTTGAAAAATATTTTAGAAAGCAATACATTTTTTATTTATAAATATCTATTTGATAGAGCGCCATATATATTCCGATATAATAACGGTTATATCACAATAATGTTATAAACATTTTATAAGATATCTTGGTCGTTTATTATGGTCTGTGGACATTAAATTCTGAGATATATTATTTATTCCCAATAAAAATATCTTTGTTTAATCTATAGGTTAAACAAGAACGCCCATCGTATTGTAGATCGCGTTCTAAGCGCGTGGTGTAATCGTAGTCATTGTTTTTATAGATTTCTGTTTTCACTTGCAGGCTTTGCAAGCTATGTGCAGATAATACAGAGTAAAAGTGAATACGAAACGAAAATATTCGTAATCATATTAAAAAAATATTCATTCAAATGGAATGAAAAAGTATATATTCGTTTCTTGACGAATAAAAAAGAAGTGTATTCGAATGAGTATTTTTATTTATTTTTTATTAATTTATTCGAATATTAGGTGTATTCACTGGACACACAGCATGGCATCATGTTGTGCTCTCGTGATGAGATTTCTAGCCGCCTTCAAGGAACACTACTAACTAAAGCCTTGAAAATGATAGCAACATAAAAATAACATTTTCAATCTTCGAAACGATCAAGAGAAACTACTTTGGTTAATCTATTCGGATTCTTTCGTTCTACATTTTGTTGCGAAACGTATCATCTTTAACTTAGTAGATGTTGATGGCAATGAATTTTTGAAGTTCTGAATCACTTCATCAATTTATTAATGATTTATTAAAAAGTGCTATTTAAGAAAATAAATTAAAAGAATTAAATTCGTTATATGCTTATGAAAGATATTTTGAAATATTAAAATATTGATTTATTATAATTAAAAGATTTTTATATAATAATGGAAATAATAATTTATATTAAAGCGTTTCTTAATACAAAACTATTTTATTAAATATATTGTTACGTTAACGATAGATATTTATTATTTTTGTAAAAATATGGATAAATAACTATTTAGTTATTTCGCAAAAGCCAACTTACAATTAGTTGATACAAATCAGAAAATGTAGAATAATAAAATGTCTATAAATATGTTAAATTATAAGAGAAATTTGATAAATAAGCAACTCAAGAAAATTATAAATTTTTAACTATTTTATTTTCCATTGTTTTTCAATGTAGGCGAACCTGGGATATAATGGTTATAATTAGATTTTTCAAGTTTTAAACATATTAAAGATAAATAAATCAACTTTGTTATATATTAAAATATTTTTTGAAGTATTTACTATAAGGAAAACTTAAGTTTTACTGCAAAAGTATAGATTAACAGGACGAAATTATTGTTTTGTGAGAGTGTGTCGTAACCTCACTATGTCATTTATGCAGGACATTACGGGGCACCACAGAAAACTTGTCTATTTTTAAAAAATTAATATTGAACATTGCTTAAAATATTTTTATCTACACTTGCACATGAATCATAAACTCATTTTAAACATAAAATAACACCAGTGCACCATTATGCCTCGAAGTACATAAATTTACTTTAGATAATATAAAATATCACAGATAATCAATATATTTGTATAGATTTTACTAAAGTAACAAGAAAAGATTATATAATAAGATAAATGTACTTATGACAATAAAAAATAGAATTTTGTTATTGCTTATCTTATGCGAACATACTAAAGAATCTGTAACTCATTCGCGGACAGTAAAGCGAACACATTAAACAATTTTTAGCAATTTTCAGGTAAAAATAATATGACAACTAATAACAATATATAATAAGATACATCTAACAATAACTATTGTCTGACAATTCATTACATATTAGCATATCTATAAAAAGATATCGAGTACATCCCATTATACCCCAGGTTCTCCTATTGTCTAATAGGAGATATAATTGAATGCAAACCAAAAGTAACAAAAGCAACTAGAACACATTATTGCGTGTTTCAAACGCGTTTATTTCATTGAATGTATTTACTACTTACATAGCATTGTATGATTGAGAATATAAACTATAGACCAATGAATAAAATATGGGCATTATGATACGTCTTTATTGTTCTATGAAAAAATACGGATTATTTGTATAATACATATTGTTAATCGTATTATAGTAAATTAATCGAATCAAATAACGATCATTCATTCAAATTGCTCGTTTATTGATTCGTAGAATTTTATTACATCTTCAAGATTCAATTTTGATTTATCGAGAACGTTACTTGTCCAGCGATGGTCAAAGTAACGAGTCGAAAATGGAAGAGTTATGGAATAATTTAGACACCAAGGATTAAGTAAAAATCAATTTATTTAAAACTAAGTTTGTCATAGTGTATGATCGCTATACGATCGAGAGATCGAGAGGGTTGAGGTTTTCTTCGAGTGCGAGACTGGATGGAAAGTTGTAAAAACACAGATATGAGGTAAATAGGATTTAGACGACTGGCAGATGTGCTCCCTCGGGGTGAAATCCATTCTCGTCGGCGACGTAGTTGACGGTGTACCTGACATTGGTCGCTGGGTCGACGTAGGTGAAACTACCGCGGACTACAAGAGCCTCGTTTTCGTGACCAGCGTTTACCAATTGGGCGGACTCTTGATGAGCCTGGCCGTTGGAGAGCTCGTAACCATACTGGTATCCGTCGAGGCCGATATTATCCAGTGGGGTCTCTTTCACGACGACCGCCTGATCATGATAGTCATGAGGGGGAGCCGCGAGGGCAACGGCGACGACGGCGGCAAAGGCGATGATCTGAAGTAACGTGCAAAATAACGAAATAATTTGTCAAAATCCTAGTCCACTCAAAATCTAGAATTGGGAAATCTAGAATAAAACAAACGTCTTTGTCTTTAAGAAATCCTTAAGACGTTTCTTAGACGCTTTTCGTAAAAATATGTTTAAGAATCTATATCCTAATTTTTAGACTTTGCGTTATCTGGGACGATTCGTAATCATTAGTGATAAGATAACATTCTGATAGATTTTACACTTTTTTCGCAACTTATGACAGTCTGTTTCTATTCTCTGGCTTCTGTAAAGTTACAATATATTCCTTTTTTTCGCGAATCTCGCGCAGAAGTATAAAAAAATATAAAGAATAATTTATGAATTAATAAAATAGATACAACTTGAGACATATTTCTCTCTTTCGCACAAGACCAAGATAAAGACTCTCGTGATGACGATAACTGTCATTCTAATACATTCTCAAGATATTTTGTACATTCCTCTGGAAAATGATAACACGACGGTGTGATATTTCGTAATCCTCGAGGTTCCGAACGAGCGAAAGTTTCCAAGAAATCACCACACCGCGAGATTCACCGAGAAATTATTCCAAAATCTCTCCGAGAGAGCGGCACTCATTTATCTCTTTCGGAAAACATCGTTACTGATTTTTCGTAGGACACGCACCAGTTTCATGGCTACAGGTTCTTTTTTCTCAGAGAACAAATGGCGATCCGACCTGAAATGGCTCACTAAACTGATTCGATGTACCACGCCAGTTGGCGATTATATATAGCCAGAATTGTGAGATGTGAATTGCGCCCTACCATCATCGTCCACGGCGTTGCCAAAATTTTCATGTTCATGTGTCGAAATCCTTAAATGACCGGTCGACCGGGCTGCGATGGCACAACGATCGTGTTACGCGCAGTCGAGAATGTCGGGCTGGAATGCTCGGGACGAATGCTGGGGAGGTTTCACCTGAACAGGTCGCAACCGTAACTCTGAGTGCTTTCCAGTAAGAGACAGTGGGATCTTTCCAACAAGCGACACTGTGTAACACTCACCATTTCATCTTTGTTTAATATTGGCAAACACAACAAAGATGTAATGATTCACTGTGTCACACCGTGTCATGTGTGTCTCTAGTTGGAAGGCATCCACAGATGACACAGTGTGATTCATTATATCCTTGTTATTTGCTGTTAAACAAAGATGAAATTATCACTGTGTTACACTGTGTCTCTTTCTGGAAAACATCATCTAATTCCTCGCTCAACTCAATGCCTGCCACGAAAGATGATTTAAGCGTGAGGAAAGGTACGAGAGACTTAATTGTCAATTTTCTGCGGAATTTTGTTTTTCGATATGCGAACGACGGTTGTAATAATGCACTTACGAAACTTACTTGTCGCGCGATTGTACCATTGGTCCAGGCGCTGTCGTAATTTCAGAGTTAATAGTCATGGATTAATCTGGGAGCAATTTCAAATGCACTTTGAGAGATAAGCCCTGCTAAAGGTTACACGTAAATCCTTTACCTCGTATGTCCTCGTTAAATCTTAATCCATTGGTTTTTACTATGTTTTTACGTTATGCAATATATGCACAGGCTCATCTGATGCGAATATTAACGCGCATGTGTGCATGCAGTATCTAATGTATTTGATCAACTAACTAAATTTTTTGTGAATCCAAGCCGGTAATCAATCATACATGACTCCTGTTGCAACACGTTACGATTCATCGAAATCCGCTGAGCAAAACATTTCATTTAGCTTCTAATAAAATTAAGAGAAAATTACAGGCGCACGAGCTTGTGAATTATTATTGGAAATTCTTGATGGATTGATCAATTGACGATGCATCCGCTGATTGATCCACTAAAAATGAAAATATAAAAATATGTTTAATTTATATTATTTTATAAAAATTTTTTAAATAATAACCAATTGTATAAAAACATAATTTTTTTCTAAAATGATAAATGGAACAATATAAACGTATTTTAGACCGGTCGATTCTTATTTCAAGATCATCTTGTAATGTCTTAAGATGTTAATAATAGCTAAATGATTGATTTATACCATTTTAAGGCTGAATTTAAAATGATCTTAAATATAAGAATCGATTATGAATACCAGCCATAGAATCTATTTTAATTGCTTTAAGCAACATTTTTTCCAATCATCGCAATATCGCGAGGCCTTCAAAGTTACAGAAAATTATTGTCTACTCGACTAATACAAATAGAATGCATCACGATATCAAAAAAGTATTTTTACGATTTTTTATTTTATCTTATTTCACCATTTTTAGTAGCAAAATTTTTGGTCTTTTTAATTCTTCACTACATCTTAATTAAATATCTTTTGTTTGAAATCGAAGTTGATATTCAAATGACAGTCAAATAGTCAAATTGATAATCAATAAGACTCCTCGTAATTGATAGTCAATAAGATTCCTCGTAAAAATTAAAAAATCTGAGCTTTCTCGTTATGTATCTTTGATCGATGACACACGAATATCTTATTGTCTGACACGAATTATATCAGCGAATAATGAAGAAGAAATGATGCGCGCTGACCGAGATTTGAAAAGAAAGTATACTGTTACATAAGCAAACAACTTATGCTAATGATCGAGACACAGAGACAAAGAGAGAGAGAGAAAGAGAGAGAGAGAGAGAGAGAGAGAGAGAGAGAGAGAGAGAGAGGACACGTTACTGGAGAGTAAGGATCTTTTTTGTGGAGGAGGATACAAGTCAACGACGCGCGTTCGATCTTTTACACGGGAATCTTCATTATATGGAAGATTGAAAATTCTCGCGTAGATCTTTGCGATAAAGCAATACCGTAACTTTTTAATTAACATTCTTAAAGAGTGATTTTATGAAAAGAAAAATACAAATTTGTTTTACATATTATTAAAAATTAAATTGCTATTATCGTTCTTGCAGAATATATCTGTCATTGAATTAAACTATTAACTTTCTCCACGTAGTGATGCATCGCTCTTTATCTTTGTCTATTTTATCTAAACATTGGACAATTATGTGCGCGCGTGCGTGTCATTATACATATATTATATAATCTGCCATTATCATTGCGCGTAGATTGTATCGAACTTTCTAATGCATCTGTATGATCAACAGGCCGTGTATCGCGTTATGTCATACGCGTATAATGTAATCGGAGGTTGCACGTGGCTATGTTATTGAAGTACACCCCGCCTCGTATAATTAAATACGTTTGCAACTAATAATACACTGTACAAGCGCCACAAGCTAAGTTACCGATTAATACCCGGGAGTCGTTATCGTCAAATTAGCCAATCGGCACTTTGGTTCGCATCATTGATGAAGGATAACGTTATAATGTTTCCAATAGCCTCGCCCTCTCTATACCTCACCTTTCGTTATTCATTAATTTTCGCCGCAAATTGCCTTCACCAATTTTAAAGATAGATGATTAATTTCTAGAAAAGAAGAAAAAAAAACTTACGAAATATTCGATATGTTCGAATCGATTTGTTTGTTATCGATGAAAATTAAGATAGGATTAAATCACAAATTGAAAGAAATAAATAAAAAAATTATAAGCAGATGGATCTACTTTCCAAGAAGACTAGATACTCGTATATTGCAAAATTTTTAAGAAAAAAACAAATTTTTTATTTTTGTAATTTTATATGCAAAGTAATACGACATTTGAGAAGAATTAGAAATATATCAAGTAAATTAAAAATAGCGTATAAAATTATAAACATAATTTTATTTTAAAAGAGAGATAAATAAAGAAAGATATAATTTTAATGATATGTTCTGAATTTTCGATATGCAAAGTGTGCTTATAATTTCTTTTGTAATATCATTCTAAATAATTTCGGACATACACTGCTAAAATTCGCAAAAAGATCATTAAGTCTGCGAGATCGAGGCTTCTGGAACATATGTATAGATAACTAGTCGAGTTAGTGCATCATCCCGTAGCGGCCACGTCAGATCGTGACTTTTCCTTTCTGTGGCGAGAGCGTCTTTTCAAGGCGCGATATTATTGTATAATCGATTGTACGGCGACGGTATATTGCAGACGGTGCAGATGGATGCAAAGGAGACGTTCATTCCGGATAAACAGATGCGAACCATTCGCGTCGGCGTTACGCAAAGACCTCAGCACATTACGCGCTGCGTACGAGGACCCCGAAGTTGACACCTCTGATCTCTATCATCCTATCCTAACAATTAATAACCTGCTGACAATTTCGCTGATAGTTTTAACAAGAAACTATAATTCCCATGAAGTATCGAAAGTCAATTTTGTGATTAGCAAAAAAATTTAAAAAGTCTCGATTTAAAATAGACAAGCGAATAGAAATCCACGAAAAAATGATTTTGCAGAAATATCTAAAAATTTGTACTCTTTAAAATTTTTAGAGTGAATCTTACTCTGAAGAGTGAAATCTTTTAAAAATTGAAAATTTATGAGTCACCCTTTTTTAAGACTCAATTTTTACTCTTTAGAGTGAGATTCCACTTCAAAGAATTTAAAAAGTAGATAGAAATAGATTTGAAAATAATTTTTGTTGAACCATCAAATAATTATATAGGAAACTCAGGCATGATGAGAAATGCTATACAAAATTGTAACATTCTAACAGTTTTGAGCAAGTTTGAGTTTACATAATTATTTTGTTAATCCAACAAAATTATTTTCAGATCTGCATATTGCTAAATTTTTACACTGAAAAGATATTAAATTTTAATAAATATTTATTTGAATAGTTCTAAATAAATATTAAATGTAAACATTTATTTATTTGGTACAAGAATCATTAATTTGACCTAATTATCATTTTTTATTGAGTAAATATTTTTTTACTGTAAGTAAATATTTAATTATAGTACCCACTATTAAAAGATATATGTATTAAGATTTAGTGTAAATTTTTTTTTAGTGTAGATACTTCAGTTCTTTCCGTACGTGAATGAAATTGAGATCTCAAACGTCGAGACGCGCACCTTGCATTTTTTTTGTGAAAAATAACTAAACAGAGGAATGTACGAGATCGAGAATTAATGTGTCTAGGAAAATTGTCTGTCTCGAAATTGCGATTCTAACACGGGCTTCCCGGGGAGCGAGTCCGTCGATCCCGCTGGGCAAAAGACGAGACGGAGAACGACGGAGGACACCGCTTTTCAACGAGGAACTTGCACACGGGTCGGGAATTTCGCAAGAATCCTGCTGGACCGCGCGAGGTCGTCGCCGTTGCCGGCTAAAGGCGCACCTTGCGTAACATCACCGCCGCGAGCACGACGGCACGGATCCTAAATGCCACACTCTGTTGGCGTACGGATGGGTCTGTACACCGGCTGCGCGCGTGCATTAAACGACGAGGTGAAGTCGCATGGTACGGTGTACTTCTGATCTATCGTTCCTCCTCGGTAGGGGAATTTATCTACAGCTGGCCTATCTTCAGCTATTGAATTTACGACAAGGTGGTAAAACTAATCCGGAGAAGCCAACGCGAGAAGCCGTCCTTAATTGGTTATTCTTTACGATTTCTTGGATTTCTCCAGTGGCCAGTATTACGCATACTAATGATGACGTAAAGTAACGTTCCAAGCAGCAGAGGTCATTTAAGCTTATGTCAGAGATACGAGTCTGGTTATTTAAAAATTCTTCCTTCTCTCTCTCTCTTTTTCTTTCTCTCGCGCTCGAAAAATCACCTCGAAAAATTATCAGCGTATCTTGACCGAGAAGGAATTGATTTAGATGCATCGCA